TCTCTTCTCCTCCTCCTCTTCCTCCTTTTTTGTAAGTTTGAGGATTGGTATCAGTTCTTATTTAAATATTTTGTAGAATGTATCAGTGAAGCTTTTTGGTCCTGGGCTTTTTTGTTATTGTTGTTCACGATGATGATTTCTAAGTGTTCTCAGACTTTCTGTTTCAAGTCAGATTGGATTGTGTTTCTAGAAATTTGTCCTTGTAAGTTATTGAGTTTGCTGGCTTACAACTATCTGTAGTATTGTTTAATTCTTTTTCTATGATGTCAGTAGTAATTTCTTCACTTTTCTTCCTGATTTTAGTAATTTGAGGTTTTTTTGTTTTTGTTTTTCTTGGTCAATTTAGCTAAAGTTTTGTCAAATTATGTAATTTTTTTTCATAGTATACTCTTCCTCTATCATAGCAACTTTTTTGGTCTTACATCTCATCTGTCTGATACTGGGTTTGGCTATAGAAAGCCCTTTTAGACCTTTTCTGGACCTCATCATGTTCCAGAAAAATCTACATTTGTAATTGGAAAAGTTATTGGAATTGTAATAAATTAACTCTAATCTACCACTTCCAGTGCAACCCAGGGCTCACTGGAACAAAGACCTCAACCCAGGACTAAACCCAGGCTTTATTAATTCATGAAGAGGAGCGTGGCTCGGGATGAGTGACTGCTGAGAGTGATGAGAAGTACCAGAGTGCTGTGAGCTGGGTTAGGTAGGAGGTCTGAAATCACCTCTGATATGCAGGGAGAAAGAGAGAGAGATGCATGCAGGAAGAATAATCTGCATAGCACAATTCAGGGCAGGACCTAATGTTCTGGGGTCAGTGCTTTTGCTCTGATGTGTAATTTTTTATGCCCTGAGAAGTCACAGCCTCTTATCTGCAGGCTCGGTCCCAGCAGACAGTGTGGTTCTCTCTGCAGCCTCACACATGCTTCTTAGGACCTATGGAAGCAGGCAACACTGACCCAGTGCCTTGGTTTAAAGACTACTATTCAGCACCTTGGCTAGACCTATCTGCATTGCTTACAGCCAAAGGAGGTCCCAGCCAGCTCTGTATGGATCAATTCACAGAAACAGGGCCAGGTTTAGTGAAGATGGAGAGGACTGCTCGTCTTTCAAGGAGTCCTCCACATTTAGTCAGCCCTGTTCTTCTCCCATCCTTTTTTTTTTTGTGTCTTTGGATAGAAAGTGCTTTGTGACTAGAAGCTGGCTATGAACCTCAGCAGATATCTTGAGTACATGACAAATCACATCTCTCTTGCTGCTTTTAAGGTATTTGTCTTTTAATAGGTTGGCTGCAAGTTCCCTTGGTTGGCTCTCTTTGAGTTGCCTATGTGAGTTTATTAGACTTTTTTTTGTGGGTACGGGGAATCGAACTCATGACCTCACGCTCGCCAAGCAGGTGCTTATACTACTGAGCAAAATCCCCAGCCCTAGACTTTTTTTTTTTTTTTTTCCTTTTTATCAGTACCGGGGATCGAACTCACGACCACCTGCTTGCAAGGCAGGTGCTTATGCCGCTGAGCTAAATGCCCAGCCCAATCCCTAGACTTTTAAACTATGTACATTTGGTGCTTTCACCAGAGCTAGGGAGGTTTCTACCTCTTCTTTCTTCAATTATTAGCTTCCATTTCTCCCACCCTTCTCCTTTGGAATTCCCGCTATGACTATCCTGGTACATTTCCTGGTGTCCCCAGGACTCATAGGTCCTGTTACTGGTTCTTCAGTCTTTCTTATTTCCAGTACTCAGGCTGTAATCTCAGGGGTTCTATTTTCACATTCACCAGGCCTTTCTGTCTGCTTACATCGTTTGTGGAAACCCTCTAGTGAGTATTTCAGTTAACACTCTTTAATGTTACAATAGTTCCTATCTCTTTATTAGTATTCTGTATTTGCTGAGACATTGCTTTGTGGTTTACTTTAGTTTTGTTTTGCTTTTTTCTCCTGGTACCAGGGATTGAACTTGACCTCACAGTTGTCAGGCAGGCGCTTATGCTGTTGAGCTAAATCCCAGGCCCTCTTTTAGTTCTTAATACATGGTTTCACTGAGCTCTGTGAGAATACAGAAGGAGCACATTTAAAATCTAAATCGGTCATGGTGGCACATGCCTGTAATTCTAGCACTCAGGAGACTAAGGCAGGAGGATCATTGCAAGTTCAAGACCAGCCTGAGTTACAAAGTAAACTAAAAGCCACCCTGAACTGCATAGTGAGATCTTGTCTCAAAAAGACCAAAAATAAAATAAAATCTAGTAAATTTGCTTTGACCAGATTCCTTCTAGGCAAAGCCCACACTGTCTTCTCCTGAGGAGGTGGACACTGACTCTTGGCCTGAAGGGGCAGGGAAGTGTGTCACATTCTCACAGCACACGCTGCTCAGCCCCCACCCTCCTAGGAACCGGAGGGAAGAAGTCTCTTCACGTTCTATTCCTGGACTCTCCGAAGCTGCCTGTGACCCGTGGTGACAGCCTGCTCTAGAGAGGCTTCCTGAGCTCTGGCCAGCAGAGTAGGACATGAGTATACAAAATCTAGAAATATAAGGTGTTTTCATAAGGTGAGCCACCACCGGCTAAAGCCAGGACATATTCCACAGATCCCTGGGGGTGGCGATTTTCAAAAGAAAATTGAAGAATTATTGAAGACTGCTGCTTTATCCTCCCTTTCTCAAGCCCTTGGAAAAACAGGAAACCTCTCCGCATATGCATGTTTTCAAATAATGAGTCAAATATATGGAACACAGGACTTGTATGTATCTTATTACTATGTATTTGCATTCCCAGAAATAATGTCTAAAAACTATGAGAGTGCCTGTAGTTTTGTTGTTGTTGTGTTGTGTTTGTTCTGTGTGAGTTTTGTTTTCTGTTTTGAGACAGAATCTGGCTAAGTAGTTCAGGGTGGCCTTGAATTCACTGTGTCATCAAGGCTGGCCTCGAATAAGCAATCCTCCTGCCTCAGCCTTATGAATGCTGGGATTATAGGCTTGTGCCACCATGCTGTCACTGCCTAAGGTTTACATCATTCCATTTTCTGAACACAGTAGGAAAGGCACATAGTAAAACACTCCTAAAGCAACCTAAATGCTGTCTGTTCTCAGAGGATACTGCCGCTCACGGGACAAAGAATGGTCCTTTAGCTCATATAGACCTTTAGCAAATAATCATCAGTTTCTATGTGTGGGGCAGGTTGCTGGCTTGAATCAGACCTTACCAAAACAAGATTCATAGGCTTCCCATGGGAGCTTTGAATTTCCAGTTGAATGTGTTAAGATACATATGAGTGGAATATGTACAGAAATGTTTCTGACCTGCAGAGGATTTTTTTTCCGATATTCTGAGGCAAGGTCTCCTATATAGTTCAGGCTGATCCTCCAGTCCCGACCTCCTAAATGCTGGGGTTGTAGGTGTTTGCCACCGCACCTGGTGCTTTGAAGGACTTTTATCTGAATCAAGTTCACTGCAAAAGATTGTTTCTAAGATAGCATCAGTGAAGTGAGTGTTTCACTCTTGGGAAAATCAGCTCCAGGAAAGTGCTAGATGAGAGATCGAGCCTTGATAAGGAAGGAAACACCCATCACAGAGTCACAGAGCTGTGGTTGACTGACTCTCTCTCTCTCTCTCTCTCTCTCTCTCTCTCTCTCTCTCTCTCTCTCTTTCCTGCCACACTTCTGGCAGTGTTGGGTCCCTGTTGTCCATGAGGCATTAGCAAGGGGGCTCTGGGAAAGGACAGTCCTGTGTTCAGGAACCTGAACCTCATAACTGTTTCATAAATGGGATCTAAACTAAAGCGGCTGCAGGGTGCATTTGTGTTATATTCAGATTTGTGCTCTTTTCGGGATGTGCATTACACTTTAAGAAAAAAAAAATTACCCCAGAAACGCACTTTGGGAATTCAACCTTAGAAGATGCTCTTTCCAGCTGAAAGTGTATGGGACAGCTGCCTCCACAGTTTCTTTGTGGCTTTAAATTGTGTCATTCCTGAGAGTTCGTCACAATCAGGACAAGGTGATTCTATTTTCAAGTGACCAGATGATGTCATCGGCATCACTGTAGCAAACACTGCTTACTAAGGATGCCTCCTACACCATGCGCACCAGGCAGCCGGGAGCTGGTGGTGCCCGCTCACCCACTCAGCAGCCTGGAGAAGTAGGTTACTGTTACTGTTTGAATTGACAGAGGCAGCGGTTATCGTGTGATGAGAAGTGGTTTTGAGATCATTCAGCTGAATAAGTGGGGAACCAGGATGCGTGCTGCTCAGCCTGGCTCAAATGTGTCCAAGCCGAGGTTTCCAGGGCGTCCAGAAATCCTCTCAGGTCCTCGGTCCTGTGTCGTAGCACAGCAGGTGGAAGCCATTCCTTGTCCTTTTCATTCCTGCCCTCTCATGAGTGGACAGTGGCGCTTTCCAGAGCTTGTATGGTACGTGCCACACAACAGCATGAACAGGAGCAGAGAGGAGCCCCGCTGACGCCTGCAAAGCTAGATACCTCTGAGATTTACAAAAATGCAAAACAATGCCACCCCCCCCAAAAAAATTTTTTGTTTTGCAAATGTAATCATTCTTCATAAATTGCAAAATTCATGTTAATACTTAGATGGACTACTATTGCTTTTACTTAATTAAGGAGTAAACTTCTATCCCTCTCAATTTGTAATGTGACAAATATCTACAGGTTATCATGCAAGCATGCAAAAGTCCTTTTAAAGTCCCTGGTAGTTTTTAAAGGATGTATAGACATTCCGAAACCAAAAGCTTGGGAATCACAGTTCTCTTAGGCAGCCACCACCAGAAAGCTGGTTTTGTGGCTGCAGCTGTTCTGGAGTCAGAGCCACCTCTGTCCTGGACCTGTCACAACAAATTCATTCTTTTCCTGCCACGCAGCCAGAGAGAGCAGTGCCAGCTTTCTGCAGTGGCTGGGAGAATTAGCTGAGAAAGTGAAAGGAAACTGCTTCCTGTAACACAAGCGCTCAGCCAACCACCCTGAACCTGGAGCTTTTCTTGTGTCCCCGCAGGTGATGGAATTTTACTGCCAGTCCTGCGAGACCGCCATGTGTCACGAGTGCACAGAGGGGGAACATGCAGAGCACCCCACAGTCCCACTCAAGGATGTGGTGGAGCAGCACAAGGCCTCACTCCAGGTCCAGCTGGATGCAGTCAACAAAAGGTGTGAGTCCCACCCACCTCCCCAGCCAGGCTTCCATGTGAGCTGCCAATCCCCATGGTCTCTCCTCTCTGTGTTATAGTGGGTTGGTTCAGGTCACCTTTGCAGGTATCTGACTTTGTCATATAAACTCTCCTTTGACCCCAGGTCTGTGGTCATGAACCGATAAGTGATAAAAGTTTCCCCCTTCTCCTTGTTGAAATTCCACCTGCCTTTTGAGTGGTGGCATTTTTTTTTCTTCTAGTCTTTTAGAGATTAAATGAATTAAAGTACACTCAAGGAAAATGCTCTCTGGAGATCTCTGAAATTCATGCCTGAACCTAGCCCTGGAGAGTTCCATAGATGCCCTTCCTGACAATTTCCAGGCCCCACGTCCCCAGTGGATGTCTTTTTCCAGTGAGTCCTGCAAAACGGTATTGAGTGATTCTGTTGTACTTGAGGACCAGAGGAAATTAACAGCAGCTGAAAAGCAGACAAAACAGTAAACATCCTACAAAGAATCAGTACCCATAGTAAGAAAAGTAATTCTAAACTGATGAAAAGAACTTGGAAACTTCAGGAAAGTTCCCAGAAAACTCTCAGTTTGTTTAAGTTTTCTATGGTTGGGAAAAAAGATACAGTTACACATGTAGATCAGTGGTTGTCAGCCATGGGTAGTCTGTCGTCCTCCCCTGCAGTGCTTGAAGACATTTTTGCTGTCACAGCTATGTGTGAGGGTGCTACCTAACATCCTGCAGTGCACTAGACAGCTCCCTGTGGCAAACGATTATTTGGATTATTATAATCATGTTTCCTAGAGCATTAAGTCTTGCACATGAATTACTAAAATTAGTAGCTTGAAGATGCAAATCAATGTAGACCTTTGACGTTTCACTCATTCCATTGTCCATCAATCCGTGTTTCCATCAGTCCATTCTAAAGATGGTAAAAGGCACAGAAAAAATTTTAATATAAAATAATGTCTGGATTCAGCACTTGGTAATATTTGACATTAAAGATCTTTAACGAATGTCCCCCACTTCCCACCCCAGGCTCCCGGAAATAGATTCTGCTCTTCAGTTCATCTCCGAAATCATCCATCAGCTGACTAACCAAAAAGCCAGCATTGTGGATGACATCCACTCCACCTTCGATGAGCTGCAGAAGACCTTAAACGTGCGCAAGAGCGTACTGCTTATGGAACTGGAAGTCAACTACGGCCTCAAACACAAAGTAAGACTAGAGTTCTTAGGTGTCCTGCAGGGCCAGGCCATCGAGGGCACTGCACAGCAGTGGCTGATTGCGTCCTAGTGGCAGCAAAGGGAGCTCCAATAAGCCCTTAAATGACACCACTGTATAGTAGACTGCTGTTTTCATTTAACAGAATATCCAGCTTGTTCTTTCCTGTTTGCAGCAATATGTGTGATTCCGTGACCTTAAGTGCCAATTTATAATTTGACAGCAGGTGAGGCTGGATATCATTGTGCACTCAGGATTGGGGTTAAGCTGGATCGTTTTCCTTCCTTAATTATAACGTGGAATCACACTTTTAATGGCCCTCCTCCCTCACCAACCTGTTAGTCAACTTCAAAGCAAACCCTGACTACTCTCTTTGTTCAGCTCTGCACGTCTGGGGCTGAATGCTGTTGGTATTTAGGTGTGGAGACTTCTCACGGGTTTGGTTTCTGCTCCTTTAGGTAATGACCTAAAGGAGCAGAGGAGGAGCTTTGCACACTGGAGAAAGACACTAAATAAGGAATCTTTCAGATGTCAGGCTGGGCAGTTTGTCTGCCACAGCTTTTGGGTGTGACAGATTTTTTTGCCCCTATGCAAACTCATGATCCAAAAAAAAAATAACAGTGTGGGAGATGAGGCAAGCCAGAGGGGGGGTGCTGGGAAGGAAGGGCGGGGTGTTGCGCTGGAACCTGGTTCGCTGGGCTTATCCGGGTGGGCGGGGCGGAGCCGGTTCCAGCAGGAGGAGGAGGAGGTGGTGGAGGGTGCTGCCTAGCCGCCCTGCTGGCTTCCCTAGGCCCAGCTAGCCAGGCCAGACCGAAAGGCTCACCCCGCACCCCGTGTCCGGTTTCTGCAGGTGCTGCAGTCGCAGCTGGACACTCTGCTGCAGGGCCAGGAGAGCATCAAGAGCTGCAGCAGCTTCACGGCGCAGGCCCTCAACCATGGCACGGAGACCGAGGTGCTGCTGGTCAAGAAGCAGATGAGTGAGAAGCTCACCGAGCTGGCCGACCAGGACTTCCCGCTGCACCCGCGCGAGAACGACCAGCTGGACTTCATCGTGGAGACCGAGGGCCTGAAGAAGTCCATCCACAACCTGGGCACCATCCTGACCACCAACGCTGTGGCCTCGGAGACGGTGGCCACGGGCGAGGGGCTGCGACAGACCATCATCGGGCAGCCCATGTCTGTGACCATCACCACCAAGGACAAGGACGGCGAGCTGTGCAAGACGGGCAACGCCTACCTCACGGCAGAGCTCAGCACGCCAGACGGCAGCGTGGCGGACGGCGAGATCCTGGACAACAAGAACGGCACCTACGAGTTCCTCTACACGGTGCAGAAGGAGGGCGACTTCACGCTGTCGCTGCGCCTGCACGACCAGCACATCCGCGGCAGCCCCTTCAAGCTCAAGGTCATCCGCTCGGCAGACGTCTCGCCCACCGCCGAGGGCGTCAAGCGGCGCGTGAAGTCCCCGGGCAGCGGCCACGTGAAGCAGAAGGCGGTGAAGCGGCCGGCCAGCATGTACAGCACGGGCAAGCGGAAGGAGAACCCCATCGAGGACGACCTCATCTTCCGCGTGGGTGAGGGCGCAGCGCAGCTCCTGCTGGGGGCGGTGGGGGGATGTGGGGGAGGGGCCGTGTAGGGGGAGGGGCGGGGGGAAGTGGGGGGTCCGCCCCTCCCTCCTCTCGGCCCTCTCTGCCTGCCTCTTTTAGCCCCACCCCTTCCCCTCCTCCCCCCTCCCCTTCCCCTCCCACTCTTGTTTATTCCCTTTCTTCCCATTCTCTACCTCTCCCCTTCCCCTTCATCTCCTCTTATCCTTTATTTACTTTCCCTCTTCTTCCCCTTCCCTTCTCCTCTTCTTTATTTCCTTTCCCCTCTGCTCCCCTCCTCTCCTCCCCCTTTCTTCTCCCCTCCCCCTCTCCTGTTACCCCTTCTTCTTCTTCCCTCCCTCTTCCCTTCCCTTCTCTCCTTTTTTCTCTTCTTACCCCCTCCGCCTCCTCTACTTCCTTTCTCTCCACGTCTTTGCTTTCTCTTACCTCTTTTTACTTTCTCCCCCCTCTCCCCTCTGAACTTTCCTTTCTCCTCCTTTCTTTTCCTTTTTTCTTCTCTCCTTCCTTTTTCCTCCTCTTTCTCCTCTCCCTCCTTCTCTTTCTCCTCTTTCTCCTCTTTTTCCTTCTCTTTCTCCTCTTCCTCCTTAAATTCAGAAGCGTTGCATCTTCATCCTAGAAAGTCAGAACCTGAAAATACACCACAGGAGAACCAGAAAAGGCCCTGCCTGGCCCCTGGAAGGTGCAGGGAAGCTGGTGTCTCCTCAGCCCAGCTGGGACAGAGGTGGTTCACTCGGCCCTTTCTTGTGTTTCTGAGATCTGCCAGCCAGGCCGGGCCTTGGTAGAGCTTTGATGCCCTGTCCTCTCTCCTGGGCTGGTGTCACCATGCTTGTGTGGCTGGAGAGGGAGTAGAGAACCCCGCAGAGTCGAGTTGGGTGGGGCTGGGAAGGAACCCAGAAAGTCCAGTTGGGGTGCACAGGGCCTTGGGGTGCCATAGACGGGTGCCCTCTCTTTGCAGGATGCCCAAGCCCCAAGTGCTTTTTGGTTCCTTTCAGACCAAACCTCGCCAGCGGCTCTCTCCTGCTCAGCAAGGACTGTAGCGCCTCCAGGGAGAGGCTGCACTGTACTGACTGAGACCTGCAGATAGGCGGCCCCATGGCTCAGATGCACTGGGGGAACCTAGGCCTAAGGAAAGGAACAGAGGAACAGACTTGTTCCAGGGCTGAGTATTTAGTTCAGCAGCACAGGCACCTGCCTGGCAAGTTCGAGGTTGTGAGTTCAGTCCCCAGCACACACACAGAACAATCACACAGATCTGTTTTTCTCTGGGGAACTTCTTAGAGCCTGTAGAATCTGCTGGTGAGCGCTGTGAGCCTCTGAGACAGGAGAGGGGTGACAGGCTTCTTCTTTTCTTTCTTTCTTCTTCTTCTTCTTCTTTTTTTTTTTTTTATTATAGTAGAAATTAAAACACAACTTTCTAAAGTACACATTTACAGGGGAAAAAATGTTAAATTTTTGGGTCAGTTAGAAGGAAGACAGGAAAGGAAGTCCAGCTCGGCGCTGTGACATAGGGGTTCCGACCGGGCCACCCACAGATACGGTATTTCATTCCTGGTCCCGTGGTTCCCGAATCTGTGTGGCTGAGCAATGCTTGTGTTCCCAGGGGCATAAAGCCGGCTCAGGACAGTGGCTGGAGACCTCTCACCCATAGTGGAATGCCCCTGGAAGTCACCCTTCCTGATGTCTGCAGGTTTGAAGGTGGTGTGATTATGTAAATCTGCAGCTAATCAAGCTTATTTTGCTAATTTGGAGACAGACCAGCACTCCCTCTGAATGATTAACATACATGCAGAGCTGAGAAAAGATTGGACCCAAATGCTTCAGCATGTTAATAGAATATTTGTGCCAGCATTTTCATTACAAGAATAAAAAATCAAACTTTGTTTTGCTTTTAGTCACCTGTGAGGCATCTGTAGGCCCAATAAAGGGTTAAGGTTCATAATAAAAATGGCTTTTAAATCCCTGGCTATCTGGGAGAAAACACAAATCATGTTTTCAAGGGCAGCAGGCTAGCTGCCAGGAATCTTCTGGTTTCCCATCCCTGGAGTGATCCCTGATGTGTTCTTGTGTTACCTGCTTCAGAGAAAAATCAGTCTGGATATTCCTTAGGTGGTCGTCTCTACTTCATTTGAGACCATAAGGTTTTTTTCAGCCCCTTACCCATAGGTTGAATTGGACCCTGGACCTTCTCAGCACATTCAGAGGATGTTACGTTCTCTTGAGCTAAAGTTTGAAATCCCGAGCTCCTGTGGATCTTATCTATAGCTAATGATTAAGAAAGAAGAAAATTCACATCTTTCTTTGCTTTTCCAAGCAAAGCCCCCTCCGCAGCCACCTGTCTCCAGCCTATCAGCTGACTTTCTGCCTAACATTATCATTGTGTCAGCAACAACCCAGTTTGTTTTCCTAAGCTATGCAACTTGCCAGTGCAGAGCTTGGAGGCCCTGGTGAATTCCTTGGCTGCCTGTGCAGTGCGGGTGCAGGAGGGGCTGGGACGGCACAGGGCTGCAAGTCCCAAGTCTGCCACTCTGGTTCTACCACTTTACTTGAGCTTTGGGCAGAATGCTCAGTGTCCCTGAACTTTGATCCTCACAGCCAGAAAATGAAAACACAAAAATACCTGCTTCTCAGAGCTGCTCTAAGTTTCCAGCTTAAGACCTAGCAGAGAGAAATCGAAGGCAGGAGAGTTTTCTTTGCAAATATAATAGTTAAGGCTGTTAGATTTTCTCTGTGGACTTTTCTTTTTAGACAGTGTAACTTGCTTCTCCCCATGGCTCTCCTGCATGAGGAGCAGATTCTCTGGTTCATGTCCCACCTCTGCCCCCAGCTAAGCCTGGATCATTAGGCAGTGGGCAGAGGAGCAGAATTGGGCAGATTCAAGTCATGTGGATTCTGATTTTTTGTGCCAGCTGCATAGCTGGCTCGCACTTCCTAAACCCTGTAAAATAAAGGGACTGAAATGGTCCTAGTAGGTTGCATAGGTAAAATGAGGAAAGTATGTCTAGTTCTAGCCCATGAGCGATACAAACGCAGTTAATGTTTACTGAGCTTTTATTATTACTATTAATAATAATCATTTCCACCTCTGCTGCCCACCTGCGGGAAGAACATGGCATATTTCCTGTCCCAACTGCGTCAGTGTTGAGCTGTCCCCAGCTCCTACCTGGAGGGAAGGTTGTACCCCACCCGGTGCTGCCCTGCCCAGTTAGAAGTCGTGATTCCCTAGCCCGGGTGGAATGGGGATTCAGTAATTTAAACGTTTGTGAAGAGCTGAGAGCAGTGTAGGTCACATAGCACTGATTCTGAGTTTTTTGTAAAATAAAATGCTATTGCAGTTTGCTAGGACTGCCATAAAAAAGCACCAGGGGACTACGGGAACAGAAAACAATCCTTCCTGACCTTTTGACTAAGATCAAGTACAGATAGGAACAGAAGAAAAGGCGAGTCGGACTCGCTTACTCCTTGTTTTTAAATTATTAACAAGTAAAAATTGTACATAGTTATGATCTGCAGCATGTTTTATTATACACATACACACACATATATGGAATGGCTAAGGCAGGTTAACAGCTACATTATTTCACCATATTTTACAATAAGAACATTTTAAAATCTGCTCTAGCAGTTTTTAAGTGTATAATATGTTGTTGCTGTGATCACCATAATGTACATCTCATCCCTCCTGTCCAACTGAAATTTTGGAACCTTGATCAGTATATCCCTAGGTTATACTGCCCTACTTCTGGTATATCCCTAGCTTATCCCCCCACCTTGCCCTACTCCTGGTAACCACAATTTTACTCTGTTTTAGGGTCTGGTTTTCTTCCACATGTGAGAACATGTGGTAGTTTGGTTTTGGCGGGTGATTGTTTGATTTTTGAGACAGGTCTTGCTGTGTAGTTTAGGCTGGTCTCAAACTCTGTTTAGCCAGGCTGGCCTTGACCTTGTGTTGATCCTCCTGGCTCAACCTCCCAAGTGTTGAGATTACAGGTGTGCACCACCATGCCCAACTCATAATTGTATTTCTGTGCCTGGCTTATTTTGCTTGATTTAATGTCCCTTTGTGTTGTTACAAATAACAGACTTTCCTTCTTTTTAAGGTTGATTCTGTATCTTGCCTATTGTAAATACTGTTGCAGTGAACATGGGAATGCAGTCTGTTTGACTTCATTTCCTTTAGACATATACCCAGTGGTGACATTGCTGGATCATGTAAATAGGTCTATTTTTATTTTAAAACCTCCATAGTGTTTTCTATAATGACTGTATTACATTTTCACCAAGTTATCTCTGGGTTCCCTTTTCCTGCACATCTTTGTCAACATTTATCTTTTATCTTTTTTTTTTTTTTATTTAAGGAGACAAAAGAAAAAAAACAGAAAAAGAGTACAAGTTACATAGAATTTCAGAAAAAGTAAACAGTAGGAAATCACTAATTACATATTGTCATCTTAGAAATAGTTGTTGAAGTCACAAAATTAAAGCACATACAGGGGACTTTCAAACAGTGAGACTGCAAACAGTTTTGTTCAATGATCCAACAAAACTCAGTAATATGGTTATCTATCTTATACACTTAAATATATATGTAGTTATATCTTTTAGAGAACTTTCTTTTCCTTTCTTTTGTATAATGACAATTTTCACATTTTGGATTGTATTACTCCCACAGTTCTTACTACTTGGTTTTTTTTTTTTTTTTTTTTGAAGAAAGTAAAACCAAATGTGACATACCAGGACAGAGTCAGTCAAATCAAAAGGGTGGACATAATGCATAATGTAAAAACAAAATATAAGGTGATCAACAATGGTTACCATAATGCCTCTTGTTATCTTAAAAAGAATTGCCTATATCATCAGTTATAATAAAATTGAACAAAACAGTAAAGAATAAGACCAATAAAACCAAAACATTGGAGACATTAGAGGACTTTAAAAGAAGATAATAGTCAACCAGAATGGGCGTCACAATG